AAACCAACGAGCTTACAAATTAAACAGAATTAGCATATTCAAGGCTAACGAATCATTTTCTCAGATTAAAATCAAACATCATATCATTTCGAATTAAAAAGACGACGCAATCAAATCAACATTTTCACATATCCATCAACATATCAGTTCAAACTCAAATTTGTAATAGCTATTCATCACAGAAACTTGACAACAACTCAAACCAAACGAAATCAAAACTTACCGAAATGTCAAAATGAACAGAACAGTTGAAGATGCAATTTATTGTTGAACAGAAACGAAGGGAGTTGTTATGGATGACTTACGATTAATGATTGTGGAGAGGAATTTATGAGGATAGTGATTGAGTTGAGTATAAGTTGAAGGGAAGAGAAAATAGTTGAGCTTGGTGAACAAGAGAGAGCTTGATGCTGCGAACCACGACGAAGGAGAAGGTGTTAAATATTGAAGAGCTGGAGAGGCAGAGAAGGTTGTGCAGTCTGAAGCTGATCGAAGAGATGATGAAGTAACACGAAGGTGATATCAGTTTTCTATAAGAGATTCGAGAGTTGCAGAGAAAGTTTTCGATGAATGAGAAGGTTTTGAGAGAATATGGGGAAAAATATGAGTTTTAGGGTTTTCGTATTTTTAATTTAGAAATTAAAAATAAATGACCTTAGGTAGCGCTTTTTGAAGCGCTTTCTGATGTATTTCCTTTAACAACGCTTTTTCATTAAAAAAAGCGTTTTCTGATGTATGGCCTATAGCAGCGCTTATATGAAGCGCTTTCTAAACACATCCTTTAGCAGCGCTTTCTATAATCACTTTCTAAAGTGTGGGTATGTATGGCCTTAAGCAGCTCTTTCTAAAGTAAGCCTTTAGCAACATTTTTTTCTCAATTTTTTTAAAGCTATAACAACACTTTGGGGAAAAAGCACTGTCTATAGTGTGCTGCCTAAAACAAATTTTGTAGTAGAAAGCGCTGCCTAAAGTGTGGCTTTAGCAGCACTTTGGGCCTATGGCAGCGCTTTTTATTGTTGGATCTATATTAGCGCTTTGAATTTAGGTAGCGCTTTCTAGAATTATTTTTTTATTTCAATTTTAATTGACCTTAGGCAGCGCTTTCAGAAAGCGCTGCCTAAAGTGTGGCTTAGGCATTGCTTTTTCTTAACTTTAGGCAGCACTTTTTTCTTAACCGTTGTCTAATGTATATAGTTTTAAAATTTAAAATTTTATCGGGACATATAGCAGAGCTTTGGTACATAAGCGTTGTCTAAGGTGTGCTGCCTAAAAGTAGTTTTGGCATAGTGGCTCATTGCTTCTTCTATTTCATCCAAGATGCATATGATGATAGTTGAATGAAATCTTGTTGAAATCTTCTTTCTTTCTTTTTCTCTCTTCTTTAGTGGTTTTCAGTATGTATAGCATTGAAACTTTAACATTTTCATAATCCACTACTTTTCTTCCACATGATGAAGCTTCTTGGCCAATGGCAATGGTTAAACCGCTAACCAACAAATGTCTTTGAAGCTTTGATCTTCTTTTATAGCCCTTGACAGAGAGAGACATTGTGAGGATAGAGTAGACTTTTCCTGCACCAACGGTTAGTTCCCAACAGATAGAATAAGGTGTAAGAGTTTAGACAATATAAAATAATATTTTTGTATCCTGTCACTGTTCAATGATAGCTTTCCACCTTTCCTCTGAATAATATTTTTCTATTGAGCTTGTAAATAGATATCCTTTAAGTAAAGAAAGATAATTGTAAATCTAGCTATTTGTTCCCAATGGTCACATTGAGAGTGGTTGTCAATACAGTATAAAGGATTGTCCTTACGCCACCCTAGAGGGTAGAGGTCACATACACTTTATGTACCTTTTGCATAACATCACACGTTAAGCATTTGAAATTTCTTATTATCTTTAGAGGCTTCAGATATTTAAATGTTAAACATTGAAGCTTGTTGTAGAAGAATCTTTCTTATTAGCCTTAAAACCTAAGTCTTAGAGTCTTCAGAACTTGTCACATAGAACCTTGTTCTTCAGAGTCTTCAGCACTTGGTTGTAAGAACTTCCTTTTCTTCAGATCATCAGAACTTGTTCAATAGAATCTTGTTCTTCATAATATTCAGAACTTCTAACACAAAAGTAAATCTTTAGAAGGCCTCCAAAGCTAAACCATAAAGTCACGATCAGAACTTCTTGTACTAACGTTCCTAAGACACGTTGCAGAAGATCAGCTCAGAACCTTGGCTTTACCAAAACATGTAACCACATGTTTTCTACCAGAGTGTATGTTCAGAACTTGATGACGTCACATGCCTTGTACTAGAGTCATAACATTATAGCAGCAACTACACACTAGACAAAACCATTAGTGTATACAATTGTTCTCTAAGATAAAATGTGAATTTATCATCAAAGTCTCAAGGCCAGATGTAGAAAACACTTTTTGTTCTTACAACGGTTTCAACATGTCGTATATGATGTCCTAACCAGAAGAGCAGAACATTTGGTCTGTCACAGATTAGATATAGGTAATTTAAATTACTTAATACTCTAGAAATATTAAGTAATTTTATGGGGGTGTCTAAGATGAATAAATCAGAAGTGTTGAACTAAGACGTTCTATCATTCAGAAGAAACATGTAGAATAAACATGTCATATGCAGAGTCATTCGACATTGTGATTGTGTTGGGCTGGACTGTTGGATTGGTTTAAGATTTAACAGATGCAGAATATTCAGGGAATATTATGCTATCCTATATGGCACTGAGGTTGAAGATTGGGGAGATTCAAGCTGATTTCAAGGAGGTTTATCAGTTTCTATTTATGGAGACAAATTAGGAAACAAATGATTGAAGTTCTATTTTTATGCAGAAGATTCTGCAGATTTTCAGCAACTAATATGTTGATGTTTAGAAGCTCATGGAAACCTGAAGATTATAAAAGGAAGACTTAGACCTAAATATTTTTAACTAATTCTAGCGCAAAAACTTTTGTAAATAAATTATAAGGGGTTAGGGTTTTGAGAGTCGTAGACTTTCTTGTATTGTAAGTCACCCTTTGTATCAGTTTGATACATTGTGGTAGAACAATTTCAGAAGCCTTTAGGTAATGAATTGTATATTATTCTTGGATAAGATTTTGAAGCAAATCTAAGTGTGGTTATTAGTCAAGAGTCTTGACTGAACTTTATGATTGTTAGACATCACCGAGATGATTTAGAAAATGAGATGGTGATTTCTCATATTTAGGAAGGACCTAAGTAGAAGTTACATTGGATATGGGTTAGGCGAGAAGTTGTAAAGGGGGAGTTTAGTTTTGAACTAATAATGCTGATAATGGACTTCATTCCTGATTTGATAGCCTCCATAGTAGGTGTTATTATACACCAAATTGGGTCATCATATCTTTGTATTTTTATCATTTTGCGTTGTTCAACTTTGTTTCTTGATTGATTGACATGTCATATAAGATGTTGGAATATCTAATATAATATTATTCTAATATGAATTATATCAGAGTGCTTTGTCTTGTCCGTGTGATGTTAAATAGAGACCAGTGTCTTACATGTGTTAGGACATTTGTTATCTGAATACCAGAATTTTAATCCAGATGTAACAAGGTTACAACAAAAGTGATAGAACCAAGCATATCTCTCTTTAGTTCTTCTCATTCACACAAGAACTCGAAAGAAACAGATAGGTTGATATTCAATATATTCGTTCGAGTGATAATGTGATAAATCTCTTAACAAAGATACTCCCTACATCAATTTTCAAGAAGCACGTACAAAATATTGGAATGCGTCACCTTCAAGATCTTTGAAGAAGAACTAAATGTGTTATGTTGAAGAATAACTCTTTTTCCCTTATTTATTATTATTTAGAATTATCTATCTTAATGTCAAACTTTAAATAGTAATGTCAATTATTATAGATGTGTAATATGTCAAACTTAAAATAGTAATGTCAATTATTACATTAGTGTAATGATTGTATTTCTAGTAGTATAAATACTCTCTTTAGTTTATGTAAATACATACCAATTTTTTTTTGAAACATATAATTGATACTATCCTACTTTCCTATATATTTTATCTTAGTTTGATATATCATATAATCATATATATTTTGTAGTATTATATAGGAAGAATGTTCTTTTTTGTCCTGTATTTTTAGGGCATGATTCATTTTGGTACCTCAATTTTAAAAATGACTAATTAAATTCCTTAAATTTTCAAGACATATTACATTGGTCCTTTCTATCCAAATGTGAGTAATGACGTCTATTTTCTGTTGATGTAGAACATTCAACCAAATCAATTAAACTAATTTATTTTATGGATTCCTTAAGTTCTGTACATAATCTTCATCTTTCTCACATATCTAAAAGTTCCAAATCGACCATTCATAAAGAGATATATATATGTTTTATATCTACACAAACAATGAGATACAAATAAGGAGGCAACAACATTAGAAAATAAGAGCAAAAACGTGAGAGAGAATATATTATTTTTTTATATAAAACTTATATTTTTCTTCCTTAACACAAACCTCCATTCAACATCATTCAAACAAAATTTCTTCTTCAACCTAAACCTTAAACAACATTCAAACCACACTTCTTCATCTTCAACCTAAACCTTCAACAATCATTCTTAACATCAACCATTCTTAACATCAACAACCCAACAAATTTGAGTTTTGGATGAATATGTCACCACATCAACATCAAATATATATTAAGTGATCTTTTATTTTGACTTTGATTATCAGATCTAATAAAAAAAACTAATGTGACATTGTTTCAAGATATGAGATGAAAATGATAGTTTTTAAAATTGAGGACCGAGCACTAAAGATACAGGAAAAAAAACTATTTTACCTAATTAAAAAAAAATTCAAAATTCAGTTTTTCTTAACATTTACTATTATTTCGGTGCATTTTTTGTCCGCATCACCCTCATCTTCAAAATCGGAAAGCCAGTGCAAACACTGACAACACATTTCCCATGGAAGCGGGAACCGCCCTCCGTCTCCATTTCACTCTCCACACCCCCATTTCCCAATCAAACCCCACTTCAAAACCTAAAACTGCATTCACTCTTTCATCTTCTCCCTCTCGTTCTCATTCTTCTACTGTTCACAGTTTCCTACGCCCAAAGCCCAAACGCGATTTCCTCGCTGATTGGGCCTCACAAAACGACGACGTCGTTCGCCCCCTCCCAATCTACGTTGGAACTACCTCTCTCTTTGCCGTCCTCTTCAATCGCGCCGTCTCCGGTATAGCTCCCGTCGCCGATGCCGGCAGGTCATCAATCTCTCTTGATTAATTAAAAGGTTGTTAGGTTAATTTTGTTAATTAGTGAGTTAATGATTGTTAATTAGTTTTTTTTTTTTTTTTTTTTGCAGTTCCCAATCTAGAGCAGACCTCTTAACTTTAGGATTGGCTGTCACTAATATTTTGGCTGGCCTTGTATGGCTTTCCATAAAACCCAAATCTATAGCTGTGGTGAGCCTCATACCTTTGCATTTCCATTTTCATCTATCTGATTGTTATTTTAGCTTCGTAATTTGTTTTTAGGTCTGGTTGTTATGGATTGTTTTGTGTTTTTCTTTTGGCAAACATGACATTGGTGCAAAATATCCACCGACTTTACTGAGAAACTCAATTTCTAAGATCGTATCAGAGAGCCTATCTGAAATCCGTTTGGCCAATCCAATAGTGTTGGGCGCGAGGGGTGTGTTAAGAGTCCTGTATCGGCTGGAAATTTGAGATACGGCGTGAAAGTCTGTTTACATGTGAGAGCAATATTCAGCTTATAAAAGAGTTTTGTAGGGTTGAATTAGGCTCAATCCAAATTCTAAGAATATTATTGTTTTCCAAAACACTAGCAAAAATATGTAACACATAGTGACATACGATTGTACGTTTTTTATCAATGGGAAAAAGATGAAACAACAGGAAATTAAGTTCTTGGGAATTGAATTCCCATAGAGTATGCTAAGCAAATATTAACTAAAGGAGAGAGAAAAATAGAGAACACTATCAGTTCTTGAACAAACGAGACTCCCAATTTAGCAAGATAATCAACACTAGTATTCCCTTCCGTAAGGCGTGAACAAGGTCAAGGTTTCACTCTTTATGAGTAAGAGATTGGATCTAATCCTCCAGAGGTGCATAATGATGAGTAGAGGATACACCCTCTTGAATAAACTTCAGATCAGTTTGAGAGTCAGACTCGCAAATCACGTTTCTAAAACCATGATTTCAAGCTATATCAATGTCCGTCTTTGTAAAACACTGTTATAATGTCCATGTATAATTATTAATTTCATAAAGAGTTTTTTTTCCATCGTACATATTTTCGGAAGTAGAAAATAAATTGTAAACAACATGATTGATAAGTAGTGTTAGAATTAATTATAATTGTAGATATTCTAGTGATTGATAGTATTCCTAGACTAAACAACTTCCTAGATTAATGCTTATTCATTAATTAGGTTAGTGCTTATTCTTTAACTAGGTTAGTACTTATTCATTAAACTTCAATGTATTTATTGTAACACTAGTATAAATACAAGTAGTGTGATCTCCCTTAAGACACACAGAATTTACAGAATTCTATATGGTATTAGAGCGTTATCACTTTGCAAAATTTTAATGTGGGTACCAAACTGTGAAGGAGCATGGTATGGGTTGTTTCAACTAAGTGTTGATTCTTTCTCTCAGCAACACTGTTTTGTTGAGGAGTATGAGCACACGAGGTCTGATGGAGGATTCCCTGTGAAGCCAAAAAAGATTGAAAAGAGACAGACAAATATTCACGAGCTTTCCAATGGTCATCACATGGAGCATTTAGAAATTGGCTAACCACACTGACAACAAATTTAATGTCTGGTCTAGTCATTGTAAGGTAATTAAGTTTGCCAACTAGACATCGATATCTACCAGGATCTTTCAGTGGCTCCCCTTGACCTGGTAGTAGCTTGACGTTAGGATCCATAGGAGTGTCACTAGGTCGGCAATCAAGCAAGCCATTTTCCTCAAGTATATCAAGAGCATATTTTCGTTGCGTAATAGCCACACCACTCTTGGATTGAGCAACTTCAATCCCCAAAAAATATTTTAGTGGCCCCAAATCTTTAGTTTGTAAGTGTAGAAACAAATGTTGGCATCAAAAGTTGTTTTAACCCAAAAACTATTTCTCAAACTAAAAAGGACCCAAACTTTCTTAAATCAGACCCTAATTTAATGCTTTTTCGAGAAGATATTGTTTTTCCAAAATAACCTGACTTTAAGATGCCGATAATAGGCTTGTTTCTGTCCAGGTAAATCCTCAGGGAGCTGAATGCAAGAAGCTGTGCGCTGCCCTCCCCGATGTTGCACTTACTGAGCTGCTTTGGTAATGCTCTTTATTTCCACTTGTTAGCTAATTGGCTTTTTCCCTCATCCCTTGGTCAAGAACTTTCTAATTCTATATAAAACTTAATGATTGAAAATTTAGATAATTAATATGGCTTTCTATCATTGTTATAAATCATCAAATCTAAATAAGTGAAGTAAAAGAATGGATGCTTTGGGGCTTGGATGCTTCATATTTATGATTGTCTTAACTACTGTGATGTAAATAAATTAGATATGAATGGTGTGAAAAGAAAGCGACACGTTATCACTTATCTTATATGATAGGGAAAATTCATGTGCTGTGATCTCAGCCAGTAATATGGAAGCTATTGCCTTAAATAGTTAACTTTTCCCTTGTTTGTTGACAGTAAAGTATCTTTTATAAACTATTATTAGGGTGTGGGAATCTCTGTCAGATGTCACCTGCTGCCGATCACTTGTTATTGTTTATGAGAGCAGTTGTGTGCTTCAATTTGGTTTTGCTGCAGAGTCTTTGCCTGGGAATGGTGAGGTTGTAAGTGTGGACACCGATAAATTGATGCAAGGATCAGTGTACCAGGGTGTTGTGAAATCTGGAACTCGTAAGTTTCCGACAGTATATTGTCAACCATGAGTCATATTCAAAACTGCCTCTACTCTAGTGCCCACTAGTTCAGTACTTTCCATTGAGGTGTGCTCCAGTATTAAATGAAATGTTTTGAATATTTTTTATACATTTTCAGAGAGTTACTTGGCTAATCTATCTCTTTATCCTGGGAAGTCTGAGCTACCATTTCTGCCGTCAAATACCCAGGTATTGTGTTTGCCTGTGTTAAACTGGTTCAAATAGCAGACACATTAATATGCACTTCATCAATACCTTGTGCTTTAACTAGTTCTTTTGGTCTATATTCAAAACTTGTATGTAGCACAAATTTTTGTTTAGAAAGAGTGAAACACGGGTGGAGTGTAGGTAGATTTTAGGGACAAGTGAATGAAGAAACTGTTTTGAACTTTTGACTATAGGTCTGAGTCAAATGTGTAGGTAGTAGACTCATTTTTTTTGACCCGTATGAAAGCAAGTAAACTCTTGGATTGGGGCACAGGGTTTCTGCCAGGGAATTATGGCTGGTCCTAATAAACTAAACACCATGTGTCTGTGGCCTGAAACAAGAGATGTGAGGGGGTTAAGATATTCCATGAATTGGCAAGCTATGTAAGACATTTCATGACGGGATATATCAAGATAACCAAACTACCAACTCAACTTCTTAAAGACTGTTATGTGTGAGACAAGAAGGCCCAAACAACATTGTGAGAAACAGAAAGCTGCAGTCTCAGAAGTCCTGGATTTTCTCAACATTTTTGGTTGAGATTTGAGATAGACCCTTCTAGCAAGGGGTTAGGGGCAATATATGTAAAGAATTTGCAAAGCACAAATTAAAGAGCAGAAAAGTTTGTTCTCCTTCGAGGGGAGCTTCTCCTAAACAAATAAAGAAGTTCTTCGATAATTCTCATGTATTATTTCCATATTCCCTTTCTTAGATATGTATTACTCTAGCTAGTACTATTATAGTTGTCAGTGATGATTCATACACTTAGCTATCGTCTTTTCGAACGGAATCCTAAGGATACAAAAGGGATAGATGTTCTAGATCTTTCTTATAGGCTAGGTTACATGAAAATGGCTTATGAGCCCTTAGAGTGACTCATTTGACTTTGAGACTCTTAGGCACCTCATAGGCTCTCAATCATTTAGGCCTAATCCTGTGACATTTCTTCCTCTTCAGCGTGGTCTAGGTCCTCAGTATGGACCATGACATCCATCAAAACCTTGTCCTCATGGAGGAAATTTCGTAAGCTGATTGGAAGTGAAAGTAATGCCAGTCTTGGTGTCATGTAGATCACTGTGGCTACTCGTAGCACATCAACATTGCAAGTTGATTGACTAGGTTATCCAATATCAACACATCACAAGCTTTCACTCTCTCCTCTTGCGATTTACTCAGTTATGAGAGTGAGGAAGAAAAACTCAATAGAAGTTTTTTTTTTGTGTGTTTTGGAATGAAACAAGTGATTTTCTTATATAATGAAGTAAGCTAGCTAAGATCTCTAATCTAAGCTATGCGGGACTAAGAAGTTTTTTCAACTAGCACACAAACACACTTATTTTTTCTTACAACGTGGGACTTGAGAAACTTTTTTCAAATTCATCTTCTATAAGAATATTGACATGTTCCACCAAAACCTTGTCCTCAGGGTGGAAATTTTGGTAAGCTGATTGGAAGTGAAAGTGATGCCAGTCTTGGTTTCATGTAGGTCACTGTGGCTACCCATAGCACATCAGCGTCGCATGTTGATTGACTAGGTTATCCATTATCCACACATCACAAGCATTCACTCCCTCCTCTCGCGATATCCACGTGGAGACTTGTTGTCATTTACTTGGTCATTCCCACATCTTCAAAAACTCAAGGTGAGGGACTGTGATTGCCATTAATTGTGGTTCAACCACTTTTATACGAGAAATGCATCTTCTACATAGTTTTGAGGGCCCAGTTTTTAAATAATGTCATAACTTGAAATTTTGGCATGCACACAAACAAAAGTCAAAACTGATGTCTCAACAACACGTAATGTCACAAATGATGTTATGACATTTGCTGACAGAACAACAAACAATAACACAACAGAATTATAACTTGCAGAAAAAGAAAGAACATCAGATATGTTAATCCAGTTCAGTGCTAACTCACTTACTCTGGGGGCTACTAAGCCAGGAAGGAAGTCCACTATAAGCAGTATTAGTTTGAAGCTAAGCTAGTTCCAAGTTTACAACTTCGCGCCTAATCCCTAACCAATGCTACTTCTACTTAGGTCCTCCTTAAGTCTAAGAAATCGACATCCCACTTCCAATCACCGCAATGATAAAATAGACCTACCCCAATCCCCAGTCTCTAACCAAGTACAGTCACAAAAACCTGAAGATAAAAATAGGAAGAACACACTTCCCAATCAAATACTAGGAGTTGCTTAAAAGCTTCCTCCAAGAACAATACTCAACTCTTGCTTCACAGCTTCAAGGAGAACAATAGCTTGATGAACAAACAACAATCAGTCAACTCAAATCTATCAGAGATACATGAGGACGTACAAAAACAAATCGAGAACCTAAGGAAAAATCAAACCCTAAACCCTTAATTTTCACAAGGTTTTACAATAAAAACTTCTGCAGTTGGGCTTGGACTGACTGGGATTCTTCAATCAACTCCAATCTTCAGCTGAAAAATCTCTGCAGAATATTCTCCTCAAAAACATAAACAATCTTCATAAATAGTATCCCAAAAATGTCTCAATCGATCCTTTTTAGTAACCAATCAAATCTGCATCTGTTTCTAACAAAATCCTTGATTGGCCTGCACCTATAATGAGTACAGAATATTCAAGATACTCATATCTTCAAATCAAATCTTCAAGGATATCCAAAAGTAGTGCGCCTTCTGCATCAGTCTCAGGATGTCACAACATCTTTTGTGACATCTAGTAAAACTCATAACACCAAAACCTATTATGACAGTTGATAAAGATGTTGCATCATCTTACTCAATACCAACATAAAATCATACTTAGAACCATGCTTAGCCAAAATTTAGCTAACCATAGAACCATGGAACTAACATAACTCATGACAATACTTGAGGAGTTTAGCCCAAGATTGTCAAACTCGCCAGTCTACTTAGACTTGTAAAGGGTTCATAGACTCAACTCGCAGACTCGACTCGCGAACTCGTACGAGTATATGGAAAACAAAAAAAATACTTTCAAAAACCTATAAGTGACACATACAGGACACACACATATTTTTAAACTTGTAAATGCCTCATATATGACACAAATATATATAATAGAACGCCAAATAACATCAAAATTTAAATTCCACACTCCATAACAAATTTATTAACAAAAAAACTCGATAATAAAATAAACAAAATAGCAAAGTATATAGTTAAGACTTAAAGTACTAATTTCTGCTTAATTGGCCACTACATAAAACAAAGAAAATCATAAACATATATGTTAATGGCTTTAAACATCTAAATATCTAGTGAAATCATCATCATCATCATATTCATCGGTATCTTGAGTATCATCACCAAACTTTGTCCCTGGTAAAACGCATTCTTCATCATTAACTAAAATTGGATTGCTTGAAGTTTCACTTCCACCTAATTCAACATTGCCACCACCACCACTTTGCATAATATTAGTAACAACAACATAAACTTCCACAACATTGTTAACAATAACATCATCTTGTTTAATTTTAACTTCAGTTTGCACATTTTCTTCATTAGGATATTCAATCACCCATTCATCATCTGAATGAATATCTTCAACTGAAAAAACAACACTTTTTGTTTCTTCTTTTCTACTTTTCAACTTCATATTGTACATTACATAAACTAAGCTATTAATCTTTCTGGATGCAATCTATTTATTCTCTTTGATTGAACCTACAAAATAAATAATAATTCAACTCAATGTTTCTAAACAAATAACAATCAAGTCTGTAAACAAACAAATAATAATTCATTATCATTTAAAAGGAACTCCAATTTCGTTCACAACTAGATGTACTGCAAGTTAAGCTTAGAACACGAAATGCAAACCTTTTTTAATTCTAGAGTCATATCTCCATAGAAATTCCACCATTCAGCCATTAACATATTCTTCCTAGATTTCTTTGCAACTTCACAACCAAATATGCTTCTAGCATAATGAAAGTTAATCATTTTCTTAAGAATTTTGTTGTACTCAACAACATCATTTACCATCCTATTTAAACAACTGAACAACTCATTTTTAATTTCAGCATCCTCGTCTTTAAAATTATCTTCATATTGAAACTGCGGATTAAGATAATATGTATGGCATGTAAGGGTCTATGAAGTTGAAACAAGAGACTAGAAGAGATACTTTATAATTCCCATATAAGCAAAAAAAAAATACGGGTTTTTTATTATAAAAAAACAAAAAAACAAAAAAACAAAATCTTTTGGGAAATATGGGCCTTTTTTTTTTGTTTTTTTATATAAAAAATAAAATAAAATAAAAAAAATTTATAAACTCGTAAACTCGCCATAGACTCGCAAGTCTATATGAGTTTGTGCGAGTTTACCTGAGTTTATTCGAGTCTATCAAAAAACGATTCTATGCGTGAGTCTACCCTCGAGTTTGACAACCATGACTTAGCCAAATTGAATTGTTGCTCTGAGGTTCGGATCACCCTAGTCATGAGTTCCCTAAGCTTCTTTGATCAGTGTGAATGGTTAATTTGCAGCCAAGGAGGTAAGTTATCCACTTCTTGACTGCAGAAATAGTTCAAAGCTCCGTCAGATATGTTGAAGCTGTAAGTATTTTGGGGCAAAATTTCTTACTATAATAGCAAATTTGGTGTTCTTGTTAAAAGAGAACTGCCCTCATGCTAAAGCCCAGAGGCGCCAGTATCCAGTATATACTCATTATTAAAGTTATGTAAAGCTAAAACACCGAGGCCTCAGTCATAGCCTGTTTAAGATTATCATAGGATGAACTTTCAGTGCATAATATCAAGAGCATAAAAGTTTGTTCTCCTTCGAGGGTGACTCCTACTAAACAAATCTATATTTTTTATTGATAATTCTCATGTACTATTCCATATTCCCTTTCTTACATTTATAGTACTCTAGCTAGTACTACTATAGCTGTCAATGATGATTCATACATTTAGCAATTGTCCTCTACAACATAATCCTAAGGATAGAAAAGGGATAGATATTCTAGATCTTTCTTATAAGCTAGGTCACATGAGAATGGGCCTTATATTATAGTGCACTCGTTTGAGCCTCTTAGGCACCTCATGGCCTCTCAACCATTTGGGCCTAATCCTGTTACGATTGGACCTGATTTGGGGAATCTCTTCCCCCATGTCATTTCCTCTTCAGCATGGTTCGGGTCCTCAGTATGGTCCGTGAAAATATACCTCTGCAAGGAAGTAACCCATAAGCATTTCCGAGTAGCACTATCGGAATGGGCCCAAAATAAGTTGGTGTATGAAAAATAATTGATGGCAATTAATGGAGACAATTCCACGTGGCCCCATTTTATAAGAGGGTTATATTAGAATAGGCAAAAGGTCTATACTCTATTTGGGCGGCAGTTGATTGGTTAGCCAAATATGCCTATTTTATAGGCCTCTCCAATTTATTGTCTCATGCTGTCCTATTCTGCTCTAATCTAAGGGTGGAGAAAGAAAGAAATAAAAAAATATGATGTAAAACAAGAGTCATCAAACCCTTAAATAAAATCCAATGACCAGAAATGGAGCATGAGACACGGCAGAATGAAAAGGGCAGGAGAGGATCTAAATCTTTTAATTACATGGTTTCTTTTCATCTATTTTGTCGGAGAGACCATATTAGGGAATCATGGAAGAAATTATTTTTTATGGCGAGTACCTAATTGAAGTTCATTATCTACTCACAAACAAACAACCTTAAAGAGGTGGTTAGCTGAGTGGGTTGTCTGCGCTATATACAGTAACAAGTACTAATCAAAAGCAATTGCTGGATTGGTTATGCTAGGCAAAATTATGGTTCAGCAATGTCACCAAGATGACTCACTTTAAAGCCTTTTATGGACAATATTCCCTTTAATCAAGAAGATTTGTATTATGAAAAAACAAACAAACTAGAGAAACATTCTTCCTTGCCCTCTCTTTCCCTTCTTTGCATCCTATGATTTTGTTGAAGACTCCTTCCGAACTCACATATACTTAAAAAATAAGTTATATTTAGTCTTGAGTATAAACAAATTCCAACTAACTTCATTATTTTTAATGCTATTATTGCAAAACTAGCTTTTAACTGATGTTCTTATAGAAAATTGAATGAAGTGAAAGAGTAGTTTGAGAAATATAACTGTATTTGTTTCTCACATTGAAAAAAACTAAATGACGTTAACTAATAATTTTAACCACTGTAAAATTGGTCATTTTTACTTATGTGAGTCTAGATGGAGTATATTGTAGTAATGTATAATAACTAAAGTTATTGGTACAATTGTTATTTGCTAGGCTGTAATTTTACAACCACTTGGAGATAAAGGAATTGTAATTATTGGGGGTGACACAATACGTGGTTTCACTACTTCTGATCAGGTACATTTCATCTTTCATATTTTTTCAGAGATCTATCTGAATTTGTCAAGATATTTTAATTATATAAACATGTTAAATTGACAGAGGATTTCAATATATTAGCATAACTATTGAAATACTTACAGGCATGGATAACTTATATCGGAGAGAAGCTGGATTCTACTCTTGCAAAATATGTGAAAACGCACCCTTCCTTAGTTACTTAAGTTTCAAAGAAGTTCAAGTAGCCTCTGATATTTGTTTATAATTGATTTCAGTGGTAATATATCATCGTTCTTCATTAGGAATACGAGGCTGAAATTTAGTCACATGTATTTATTTTATTAAAATCATTTACAGCAGTTTTTAAATTGATTTCTGGCCAGTCTAATTCATATGTTAGCAATAGGAAGATAATCTAGAAGATTAAATCATCAATTCCCTCTAGGATTGTGGAGTTCGGACCTTCACACCTCTGAAATTTGCGAATAAAATAAAAAATTCCAATTCCTCCTAGAATTATGAAGTTTCGATGCGAATAACTAAATAAGTAAAATTTAGTTTTAAATGATGTTGGTCAACTTAGTGTCTTAATCCTTCTTTTAAATTGTAGAGGTGGTTTCACAAAAAAATGATATAATTCAGAGACTAATCGGCTACAAGTCGTATAATTGAAGTATTAATTAACTAATAAATGGTATAATCTAGAGATTTAGGTGTTGGTTTGGTGGTAAAAGTTTGAGATTTAGGAATGTGCTTTTTCTTTAAATTTTAGGTTTGAATCCTTTAGATACTAATAATTTATGTGATGAGTTAATCTATAAAGACTTTAGTGAATAATACAATTGTTTTCAATATTTTTATATAAAGAACCTGATATTAAGTTTTAAAGTCGATTAAATTCACTGTCCACTAACATGATTTAATTAAGTCAAAGTAAAAATTTGTATAGACTAATCCAATATAATAATTGTTAGCATTTGTAAAATTTAAATTCGAAATTTAAAGAGGAGTATACTTTTAAGTCTAAAGATTTCATCAAAATACATCAAACTCAAAGTTTTGTTCTTCCATATTACTTGGTTTTAGATCGAATATTGAATTTTTCTTTTTAAAATAAATGAAATAATTTGGGATTAATTGTTAGCTGAGATTTTCGATAAGGTCTTAAAATTAAGCTAAAGTAAGTGGAGGAAGACAATTTTTAGATAAGAAAATTATTTCAAGGCGAAAAAGGTGGTCGATATGTGTAGGGGTGAATGGTCGACTTGAAATGGGTGAAGTAGGGGGTCGAAATCCCGTCTGAAGGAAGTTGTGGATTTAGGATTTTTTCTGTAAAAAGATTAATGATTAGGGCGGTCAAGCGAAACAAGGCGATCATCACAAACGAACATGGTGTCGTAACTGTTCGTTATCTCGCCCCCAATATGGAAACATGTAGAAGCGGTTAACGGATATAAGAGGATTTGGCACATCCCAAAGAGAAGTCTATCATAAAATAATTACTTATTTGTATTATAAATAAAAGTTTCATCACTAGATTTAGAGGTGTTCAAACTTGCTACCACACTCACATACAACTCAAAATATCCAAAGAAGCGTGAAATGAGTCCTAAGAGTGTAATGTATGTTTGATCATCAAATTCCAATTAAAGCAAAGCTTCTCATTCAGTCTTGTGATGGGGTATTTCGCAAGTGCACGAAAAATATCAGAATAATACAAAGAGTGTCGAACCCACAAAGGCCTAATAGTCAAGCTACTGTTTTCTATTGCTACGATGTTTATGTAGGCGATTAAAATAATGATTGGAGATACGAAAAATAAAGCATAATAAAAAATATAATTAGTTCAGAAATACAATGATGGATTGTGGATCTCATCAACCCGTTGATACTCTTATTGTTTCTAAATTGAACTACCTATGAGACAATGTTTTACTCTTTGAAAAAGAACTAATTAAAAAGGAATTGTCGTTGTCGTGTAATCAAAACTGAATTTTATCCTCTAATTTATATCGTCTGTTGTCGCGTGTCCGATGCGTTTTGCTTTAAAGAAGTAAATACTTTTTTTAGAAATAAGTTTCTTTTACTCAGATGAAAAATAGTTGTCTGTAAAACTAGACTTTAAAAGGTTCCCGTACCTTAAACTCATAACCGCGTCCGAAAAATGGGTTTAAAAACACTTTCTAAAAATACTAACTTTCCTAATTAATTAACAAAGAACTTTCGCGGTATTTATCAATTAAAAACTAAACAACCTTAATCTTTTGTACCAGATGACTTTTGATCTTATCCGACATATAAATGGTTCTACTTTCATAGCAACCAACCAAATTAAGTTTAGAAAAGTTGTTATAAAATAAAAAAGTCCCATAAGTATTTCTCAAAGAACAACAATTTAGAGTACCGTCGAATCGACGGTCCTCACATTCCAACACTTAAAATTTAGCTAGACATGCTTATAACGTACGACAAAATGATTGATTAAATCATGAAATAAAACATAATAGGCATAAAAAGTAAGCTTGGAAACATGCAATTGTTAGAAATTAATTTAAAGCAAATTAAGTGCAGATAAATAAAGAGACGATAAAATAAAAGTAATGCGATTAATAAAATCCTGCTCTGAAGAGACTTTAATCTGGTACAGGAAGTAAGTCAACAGAAAGACTTGAATGCGGAAAATAAAATGGCGACAAGATTAAACTTCTATAGAGAGGTTGCTTCAAACTTGATACAAGCTCAATCGACAGTGTTATAACTCTCCGATGTGAAGAGTTAAAGCTTATAAAATACAACAATATATGATTTAAGTTTGTACTAAGCTTGTATGATCCAAAAAGTGAAGCTAAACACCTATTTATAATGTTCAAAGACCTAAAGTATCATGTGGGAAGTTATTGGATTCGTGGGAGAAAATATAGGAGTAAATAGAGAGAATGGGAGACCAAGCCAAGCCCATTTGTAACTGCTGCGTTTTTACAAGGTGTGGCAATGGAGAATGCCATGCTCACAAAATGACCTTGACTCGATCTTTGTGATCGTTTGCGTGTGGACCACTCATGGCCACCTTTATGGTAAACGCCATGGTGGTCGCCTTTTGTGTAATCTACCCCTTTCTTTTCCGTTTTTCATCTGAATTACTTCGTTTCTTCGCGTACGACTCCCATTTGGTCAAATACCTGAAATATAGACAAAATACCAACACAATACTGGAAATAGAGATAAAATAACAATAAGACAAATGTAAATCGAGTCAAATATACAGTGTATTTTGGTGTTATCAAACTCTCCCACACTTGAACCATTGCTTGTCCTCAAACAAAACGAAAGTAAACGATGACACTCGATAGCTACTCTGGGCTTAAAGACTTTACTTTGAACAAGGTTATGTCAATAGGTTCTAATTTACAAAAACAAGGGCATCGTAATAACACATTCTGCATTTTGCGGGCATAAGTCTCCTTCCTATACAAACCAATCTGTATCATGTTATTATGCTTAAGCCTAACTTACTCATCCCACTTTTTTCATCCCTTTTCATTCAGGTGCAATCACATTAAGCCCGTTATCTGTACATACTCATAGTAAGGCGACCAATTAGTGTTTCTGATCCTTTTGCACGAGGTTCGGGTACATTAATTGGTGTAACCCCTTTATTTTCCCTATTGTAGTTACGGGGGATCGGACCGTAATCTTCCCTACCAAGTTCAGTTCCTGAAACCTCGAAACTAACTAACAACAGGTTTTTATTTTATTTTTGCAGATTCCACAACTGTTGGGTTAAGCGATCGGGTGGGGGTCACCTAACTTAGAAGTTGCATTCCATATTTTCAATTAATTATAGTAGAAAAAAATTAGGATCATTCACTTATATTCATCGACTTCTCTACGTAGAGCATGCTTAAGCTGATGCCGACTGCTAAAATAAACTACTTAAGAACTTATTTGTAAGCAACCCTTTTCTTTGAGTAGTTTTGTATGATAGCAAATATGTGTGATATAAGTATTAATGAATGTTTAATGTGTTTGATCTATATGTGTGCATGATATGATAATAGTGTAGCATGTTCAAAAAGAGTTAAAAATGTGTTTTACACATGTATCACAATTTCAGGTCGATACAAAAGGTTTTGCATCGACATATACTTAAGCTAAAAATCACAACAATTCTGCTTCAGTATGAGTCGACCCATTCACACTTTACATCGATACATGTCAAGTTCATGCTCCTGGAAAACGTTTTAAAACCTTTATGCATCGACACATGAACTCATGCATCGATACATATCACGTTTTGTTTTCAGAAATCAAAAATCAACTCAGTATGAATCGACACATACACATTATGTATCGACTCATATGGAATTAAAGGTTTTGGATTCAGTGTGGAAAACATGTTGTATCGACACATAATGACTTGCATCGACTCATACATATTTGGTCTCTCTGTAATATGTCTTGCTATCAGTATGTATTGATACATAACAGATTGTATCGACTCATCCCATGTTTTACAACTAACATGAGTCAACTCATATTAGACATGCATCAACTCATATTATGGATTTTACCTTTAATAGTTTTCTGTTATATATATATATATATATATATATATATATATATATATATATATATATATATATATATATATATATATATATATATATATATATATATATATATATATATATATATATATATATATATATATATATATATATATATATATATATATATATATATATATATATATAAGTCATTTTTTTTGCAGTTAAACACAACATGTGTCACAAATACAGTTGGTGTGCATCAAATTTTCTAAGCATTAGAAACCTGAAAGATACTTCATCTTCATCATCTTCTCAATCATCTTGGTTCAACAACATCAAAACATAATCATCTTTGTTCATCGGATCAAGGGATCATAGAGATAATATTCAGTGGTACGATCAGTGATCTTAGTTGAGTTGAAGATTCAGAAGGGGGTTTCGAGGAAAAACCAGATGGTTTGTCCTTAAAGAATGGGTGTGTTATTGCGGGTTTGTCAGTCACGATTGCACAAATCAGATTCAGCCGTAGCGAGGGGTTTGGAAATTGGGGTAATTTCGTAAACAGGCCGTGGAAACGGAGGATTGATTGTGGATCTTGCAGGTGAAATCTTGATCAGCTCAAATCAAGTGAAGGTTCATACAAGAAGAAGACCTTAATGATTATGTTTTGTCTT